TGCTAGCATGTTGCATATATCACATACTGCTAGAATGTTACATGTACCAAATACTGCTAGAATGTTGCATATATCAAATACTGCTCGCATGTTACATGTATCAAATACTGCTAGCATGTTACATGTATCAAATACTGCTAGAATGTTGCATATATCAAATACTGCTAGCATGTTACATGTATCAAAAACTGCTAGCATGTTTCGTATGTCAAATACTTCTAGCATGTTGCATATATCAAATACTGCAAGCATGTTACATGTATCAAATACTGCTAGCATGTTGCATATATCACATACTGCTAGCATGTTACATATATCAAATACCGCTTGCATGTTTCGTATATCATATACTGTTAACATGATACAGAGAGCAAATACATAACTATTGCCTCGTAAATCGCATTGTATCCTTCTCGACCCGGTACACAAATCACAACAAGTTGAAACTTACCGAGTGAAACAAAGTGGGATTCAGGTGCTACTAGACAGGTACCAGCGGTGAAATCGGATTGAGAAAAATCTGCAAAACTCTTCTCATTTATAGTGTCTGTGATGCATTGATGTTAAAATTCCCCAGGGTAAAGTGCACCGCTTGCGTTTGATTGCGTCCACCGTGTGACGTAATAATTGGCGATGTTAACCATATGGGGAACCTTATCACTATCGTTATCATTTTCGATGAAAGTCATATTTACATATCATGAAGTCGGCTCGCACTGTACACTATAGACTATATGTCGGTCAGATATGAGTGACGTACGATGTATATACGTAATCTTCGTATCTTATCAACTGCATCTGGTATATGTACTAGTATACAGTACAACAGGCCAATGATAATTAGTACAAGGCACATTTACAAAGTAGCGACACTGAAAACATTACTTGCGTTTAACTAAACATGTACAATTATTTATAATTTTGTATTAGTGATCGATTGACTGATCACTACAGTATATTTGAACAATACCAGCCATAGTACGAAATGAGGGTGCGTGGAGAAACCAAAAATAAAAACAAAAAATGAACTGTTATTTACTTCTAATATTTATTAAGATTAATACAAAGTAACTTGCATAAATATACCGAATTGGCACTTTATATACATGAATAACGAACATGTTTTCTCAATAGGAAATATATTCTCGTGTTTGAACAACCCGTATATTGAATACACAAATATATACGCGCGAAATAGAAATAGATTTAACAACCAAGTATCAGTATCATGGAATGCTACTGTGTTCCTGGATTAGCAAAAAAAATAATAACGTCGAACAATAAAATTCTTGTATTCCCTTACACAGTGCACCATCTTGTCCCAATTAAGTACACGTTATCTGTGACGCAGAACAAGTGATTCTTCTTTATTGAGGTGGCGTCGCATTGTTTATCGAACTAAACAGTAAATCTTTGTTAAAACCGTAAAAAGCTCTCAATCTATTGTGGCCACTGGTATTGTGTTTTATCGCCGTGGTCCATTTTGACCCGAGGCCCTTTCACGACACCAACGAATAACACACACCGACGTAGCAGTTACGCTGACGTCTTAACACTCAACTATATACCAAGTCTGTTACCGTAGTTATTCGATGTTCCAAATTTAATGTCATTGTTTATGAAGGTAGAGCGATAGCCTGGCATGACAAGACGCCTTGTGGTCGCACAGGTAAGTCAACAGTACATGTCATATAATATATCTACTGAACAGAAGATATTCTGTCCTAAAATAGGAACAATACTTCTTGATTCTCGGTACATATAATAGATCATTGTGTAGTATATGAATCATATAGATATATTCTGTATACATTATGGGGTTAACGTCCTGCTATGACCTCTTGGGGGCCTATAATGTACAAAAACACATATTATTAGGAAGCATGCGGCTATCATCTGCGGGGTCTACCTGCAGTTAATGACAGATGTCGCAGTGTTATGATCAATGTGTGTTACTTTTGTGATATTGATGTTCTAGTTATGCATACACAGCAGTCCATTAAAGCAATCGTGTTTGAACGATACAATTAAATACACAATAAAAGCACGACCAAACGTGTATTTCATAATCGTATAATAAATGGCCGAACTTGAACTCTGTATGCTTGTATATAAAAGATTCAACTCTGAAAGCTGTTAAAAACGTACGAGTATATTACACGACATTCTCGAATGAATACAAGTCACGTAATAACCGGTTGTTTTCTCTTTGTATAGTCGTATTCTGATATATCACAATGGGATCTGGCGTCTCGTTACCAGGGGGAATAGACAACGTTCTATCCGATTTCAAGGTAGGAATATAATTAGGCTTAAAACTGAAGCACATGGAGATCATTTTGGCATTGTGCTTGAATGACGGGTCATATGTGTGGTATGGTGTTTTTTTTTTCAAATAATCATTAATTTTGGAAATTTATCGTGGAATTGTTATTCCCCCGTAACTATCACAGAGTTGGATTTATGATGCCTATTCACATGTATAGTGTGCGTATCCCCACAGTACGGCGTAATGCAGGACAGATCGAAAATTCATATCTATATGGAAAGCTATATAACTCGTCTTAAGTTCAGAGATATCACATGATCGTCATATTATAGTGTATATTCTTTATGATAACGAACCGTTTTTGTTTTGCTCCATGTCAATGAAATCGACTGCTATCTTAATAAACACTTATACGCTTTCAGCTCAATACAAATCTTCATTTGATCCTCTGTATAGTTATAATATAATACACAGTTGAGTTAACTCACTATCCGTCCCATCAAATCTAACATCTGAGATATAGTGCCCGTGTTGACCAACCACAACGTCGTAAAGCCAAGGCATGCGCAGCTTCACGTCGTTATAAGAGTCCTAAAGCGGAAATAAGCTCTGACGAGTACGAACAACGACAACGTTTGGGGTGACCTAATAGAAATCGGGAGGGAGGGGGCTGGAGGAATTTTGGTCAATAGGTATTTAATGCGTATAGTACAAGATACTTTCTCATTTGTCGAATCCTATTGTTACGTTCGATTTTTGCGCATAACGAGGAAATAGCAGTGAACAGAAACTGGTCTAATGCATAATGTTTTTCACACAAAAAATAAACAAGGGAAAATAGTAACATTGACATTGAAAGATTAGAAGAGCTGACAAGTTTCGATCATAGTCTTCAAGTAATTGCACAATTGGATGAGTAAAATGAGTGGAACGTCCTGAGGAAGGAACATTTAGATGCAATAATAACCCGATTACGGGCTAAGTGGGGGGGGGGGTACGAGGAAACACATGCAAATTATTTATTTAATCTAGAAAAGAGAAATTATATGAATAAGGTAAGTATCACAGACCAGATAATAATAGTAAACGAACGTAGTTGCTCAACATTTGGAATCAAAGGTACTTGAAAAATAACTGTTATTTTGGTATAATTGTGATATTTTATTAAATAAATTAAAATTATATTTAGTGAAAAAACGACGGAATAAATTGTGTTCAAGATATACTTAGTCAAGCCAGAAGGAATATATAATTTTTTATTCAACAATTCAATGTAAATCACATAGTCCCCTTGAAATTAGGGGAAATGTTATTTGTGCATAAGATAAATAATCTAGCAAAAACGGCAAGATGGCTGCAAGTCTGCTGGCTGCAAGATGTGCTTTGCTGCATTGAATATGTAAATAACTGGTCATGTGACCAGGCAATTTGTTTCTGAATAAATTTGTAGTGTGTGGTCAGTAATTGAGATTGAATAAAAGACTAATCTAATATCAAACAATTATTAAATGAATAAATGTGTAATCTAATATGTGGTTGCAAACTTATATGTCTGATATTTATGCAATTCTTTGTATTAAAAGTAAAGTGCATTTCACCATCATTATCGTAAGCATGTGTCAGCTTATTATTTATGGCGTTACCCAGTGGCAGTTTTTCTAACAATGTTTCATGGCGGAAAATTATGGCACTTTACAATTTAATGAGAATGAAGCCTAAGTCGAACACGAATGTGTGTCAACTGGCTTACATACAATGTATGTTTTAAAGTAACAACTTGGAGCGACATGAGTTGTAAAATGCTTCTGAGGAAGAAATCTTACCATACACGAATTCATTTGCAACCAGACTCACTTGTGTGATCTTAAATGATCTATGTATATTTTTTATTTTACATTAATTTTTTTATTCTTTGACTATAAACATTTAATACAACCTTTGAAAGATATTTGGAAAATTCTAATTTGAAACAAAGTAATAACCAATTGACTCATGTTGGTATTGCAGCCCAAGGAAGGAAGATATCCATTGAAGCGATACAAGGCAGCCCACGATGTATCAAGAGTTGTACATCTCAAGAGAGAGGCCGTGAACTTCGACCTTTGTGTGGTCGGAACGACTCTTGAGATACCCTTGAACAAAATTGCACCGACAGAGGCAAGATCATTTATCGTTGAAACTACTCATCCGTATCATATTGATGTCAGGTGTCTCCATGACGACACCATCTCAGATGTTGCATCCCAGTCTTTCCACTCGTTAGCAACCGATAGCCGTCTTCTTATTGATATATTAAGGCCGGGAATCACAGAGATACAGGTGAGTAATGTCACATGGTGTCGTTTGCGTTGTATCCACTCAGTGTAAATGAATAGTGTGCAGACTGTGCATACTCCAGGCCAAACCCATATTTAACCCCTCTGTTGTGTGACTGTCCTGTCCAACCCCATACCAAAAAGCACCCCCAATGTCGAGATCTTATTGGGGTTCAGTTTTCAACTGGCAGCGGAGCACTACCACCCAAAATCAAAGTGAACACCCTCGGGTTTTCAACTACCCTACACTAATCTCATATCCTACACCCAAACTAACCAGAGATGCGGATTATATGTAAGGGCCATTCTAAGAAAATATAATTTTGTCTCGAAACTATCACAGCAGGTGAGCCCTTACCTATGTCCAAATATGCAAATTAATTCACTGACGCAATAACTACGAACACTTTGGATCACGTGGCATCGATAAGTGTCTGCATATCTCTTGCGTGACGTAACACCTGCATATTAGTATATTTTTTATTTGACGCAAAAAAATGCATGGAAAATACATAATCTATGGCCAATATACATTACTTTATAAACACACAAACAAATAACAAATAAACAAACACTGTAAAAATATAAAATAAATGTTAGAAAAAAAAAGAAAAAAAAAATGTTAAATATTAAAAGTTTAATTTTTGTTTTCTGTTAAAATATCATTGATGAATTTTCCCAGGCTGTTGGTAATGAAACCATCATTTGAACTTAAAATTTGTTTGAACATGTTTTGTTCTGATAATGTTAGTAGACTATCATTATACAATGACAAAGTATTAATAAATTGTGTACGACTAGTTATTAACCTTTGGTTCTTACAAACCAATAATGCATGTATTTCATCACCAATAGCCTTGTCTTCACACGAATTACAAATTCTTTCCTCTGAAGGCATGCCTGCATATATCCAGCGTAACCTAACACCTATGTTTTCTCTGTCGTGGCGTAACACGTACATATCTCCTGCGTGACCTAACACCTGCGTTTTCTCACGGGGTGAAATATGGGGTGAGAATACCGCCAAAATTAGCTTGGTGTCATTATTTGAACATTCTTTAGTTGTTTGGTCTTTATTTGGAACCTTGTTTGGTTATTATTTGGTCATTATTCGGTTATTTGGTCTTTATTTAAACATTATTTAAGCAATAACCCCCGCCGAAGGCGGGTATACCACGAGATATTGCACAATTCACGACATATATGCACGAGCTGCAGCAATATTGTGCAATATCAAGTGGTATACCCAACTTCGGCGGGGGGGGGGGGGGTATTGCTATTATATTATACCAGTATATTGACAATTCGATAAAACTAGTAAAAAAAGAGTTTACTTTCATCTACTAAAAGATCATGATTATGGGCCTTGAACATGAATATTTATAAGAATAGTATGTAGTTGTACGCTGAATACATACACAAATTACATGAGCAACACAGTTCAAATTGAATACAAACTAATTTTTATTCCACATGAAAAAGAAACATATCCACGTTGAATAGAACAGCGTAAACACACAAATTAGCATAACAAAGGATGACCTTTCTGACCTTTTACTGACGCACAACGCGATTTGAAATACAGGGTCGTGTACAGTTTGGATCATTTAAACAGGGTTTAGTAACCGTGATTTAAACAACGGATTTTCCACGTTTTCATTCCGGTTTTTGTACAATTTGGATTGTAATTTGCCCATTGAAAGTACAGTTGTGAAATAAACCGGTTTTGTGACTCATCATACTACTTGTAACTGTGGATATTTGACGTTCAGCGGTACTTGGTTCGACCGAAATTTGAGACGCGGCGGGACGCGGTGTATCACGTACGGCGACCGGCACAGCGACCTCAGTTCCAACATCTGACCTGGATACCTTTGGTATAGCCAAAGTTTTGTGACAGTGTGACTGACAAGTTTTGTCGTTGTTCTGGGGTAAGTTTGATGGTGTAAGATCGGATTTTCGCATCGTTTTTGTGACACGTACATGATATGCCTTGTCTCAACTCCGGCCGAAAGACTTTGCACGCCGTCGCTCTAATACAGTGGTTGGTGTACACTCGGCACAAATCTGTAGCTTTCGAAATTACCTTCATCATCTCCTGTAATTTATTTACCCATAGTGGAGAATTACAATACCATATATCGTCGTCAAATCCTGCGTTGTCCCGTGTTTTTTGAAACAGATGGCAATTACCCGGGTGCACTGCAATTTTGTCAGCTGCCGCTACCGCACACCGGTTGTTATTGGTGGAGTTGGTAGCATACATTTTTGCCTGTGACTCATAGTTTTTTTGCATTTTTTTGTCATTAAATCCCTCAATTATATCTTGTACTTAAAGATCATGTTTTCTTTGTTGGAAGTTCGCAATCCATCTCAAAGTAACAACACTGAGAACACAGCGTTCTGGCGTTCGTGTTGGCACCTCACGGTGTTGAGGGACGGTGGTTTAGGTTTGTGTGGCGAACGACAATCACCCAACGACCGACGCTCACAACTTGGATCCCACCATTAACAAAAAGCAATATTATAGTTATATAACTTTTCAGATGTTTTTAATTCAGTATTTTTTCAATATGCTTTCAAAATTCAACCTCTATATTTCCCTAAAAATCAAATAATACCGGTTTTGAGTATTTCCGTATTAAACCTATAGTCAATTCATGTTCCAGGGCCACTTGGTTTAGCCGTGCATTATCAGCCAATATTCTCGGGCGGACATCCGGGCATTTTCTACCGTCTGGCAACCCTCGCGGTGAAAACAAAGACCAAAAACTCGCAGAAAACGGTACTTTGCGATGGTTGTTGAGAGTCCCCTGAACAGCGTAACAAGATTAGCCCTACGTGTGTAACATATATGAATTTGGTTGTTCAGGATTACTTCAAAGTTGAGTTTGTGTTGTTTTCTCGAGTTTTTACGGGCTCCACCAGCGTTCCACAGCAGCGCGCACAGAGCCCATAGAAATACGTGGTACAGTGGTGCGCGTCTTAGCAACGTAGAACGTCTGTGACGTAGCTCCGCCCCCCCCCCCCCGAGGATACCATGGATTGCATATGCAAATTTTGTGTTTGGACCAATCAAATCAATGGATTAACACCATCAATATACTGGTATAATATAATTTGCGCTTATTCCATTATAATTGTGTTATTACTGCAGCATCGTATTGCTATTGTTTCATTATTTCAACTTTATTTCTTAATTATTTCATTATTGTGTAATTGCTACAATATCATTTTGTCATTCTTTCTTAATGTTACAATTGTGTCGTTATTTAGAAATTATCTTGACATTCAATTGTCATAAGATTCGGTTATTTTCACGTCCAAATGTCTTGATATTCGGTTCACTTAACTTGCGATTACCTCGACATTCGGTTCGCTTGACTTGCGATTACCTCAACATTCGATTACCTGACCTACATTAGCTGACCCCGCTATGCATGTAGTATTCAATCCATAGTCCCGGGCCGCCTCCGATAAAGCATTGCTTCAAGATGGCAATGCGGGCTTTGTAAAGTTATCGGGAATTTCTAAATATGGTCGTTTCGCCAACCATGCCTCGCATCTGCAGTAATCATAGTTATGCTGTATTCAAGGTTTTCGTAAATGTCGACTTCCGCTCGCAAAGCAGTTTCACAGTTTCAATTTTGTTTTGATTCGATTGCTGTGAACACGGTTACTAAAAAATCTTTTTTAGTAACCGTATCTTTTTTAGTAACCGTGCTGTGAATGTCTCCTCCGTCAAATTCCCCCATATATTACTGACCAAAGTAGCTTATTACGACGGATGACAAAACCCAATTCTGTAATTGACTAGTAATTTGCTATTTAGTAGGCGGGGAGCTGAATTCCATCGAAATGCATGCCCCGGTTGCAACGGGTTTTCATAAGTTGCGCCATGAACTAAATAAACTGGGTTGCACAGTTGTAACTGTGAAATTTCGCTTGCTGTACAAGGTTCTCGATAGATGACACTGTGGTTATAAACATTTGTTGTTCAGTATCACCACACAATGTATTTACGTAATTTCCAGAAATATCAGTATGTGTGGGCGGGATTCATTCGTTTTATGGATCTTTCTATATACTAGTAACCTTTGACGGTTTATAGTATAATGTACGTTTGTGTTTATTCATATCACATTTATTGACAGTATACTTCTTAGAATCATCATTTCATAACCATATGTTTTCTCCGTATTTCATTTTATGCATGTAATCCTACAGGAAACTACCAGTAAGCACACCGAGCATTAATTTGGCCAATATTTGTTCGAACATCGGAGTA